AAAAATCTCTCCAAAAAAAAAAAAAAGTAACAAAGTAACCCAGATTGATTGATCAGTATGGTTACTCAGAGATCATCCAATGTCACTAAAGAACTGATGGTACAGAAAACAATAAGCCTTAATGGAATAACCACTGATAAAATTTTAATGACTCTCCTATACAAATAAAAATACTAAGATATGAGATGACCCTGAAATCATGCTAGTCCACCATCTGTGACTTGAAAGCACTATAAAAATAGAGGGGTTCCCAAATCCCTCTCCCACCACTCTGAGGAAGCTATAAGGTTCAAATTATAATTGATTTTTAACAAATTTATTTGTTCAAAAATAAAAATTATTTTAAAAAATTATATTCATGGGGGGAGGGCACCTTCAACAGGGACAGGGTCTTTGTGCTGTGATACAACCCTAGCCTCAACGAGCCTGGATTGTGGGCACATGCACGTGTGCCTGGCAAAGGTCTTGGGTCACAAACTGGGACTTGCAGATGAAGGTCTGGTTGTGTTACCACTGAGCCACCAACTGGCCCATATCTGTTTAACTTTAAATGTGTGTCGATTATGTGTCAGACAATGGCACAGGAAGACACAAAAATTAAATTGTAATTAACAAAAAAGTTAATTTACATCCTTCATATGAGCAAAGAGAGAAGACAAGAGGTACCCTCACAGGGTTTCACACAGAAACTGTCTTTCAAGTCCCACAGCCCTAGCTGGGATCATGGGTGCAACTGCAGTTCTTCCCAGCATGTTCAAGTAGGTCCTGGACATTAACTCAGAAATCTCATATGAATGAAAGAATTCACTGTCTTAGGGCAACAGATTTCAAGGTTCTCTAATCTTAATGGTATCCCTATGCTCCTCTCAAGAAGGTAACTAAACCCACGTCTTTGAAGACAGAAATAGAGTATCATAACCAATGATATTAGAAAGGAGAAATTAAAGCATCCAACTTCCTTGCAAACCCTCTTATTTTGCTAAACATGGAAGGGCTAAAGAAAAATAATAATAAGAGAGAGAGAGAGAGAGAGAGACCAACTAGGCATTTAGTTGTAATCTCAGATGACTGGACCTGAAAACTATCTCAAAAGTGACCTATGAGACTCTCATGAATGGTGTTAATTCTGCAATTAGCTTTACTACCAGTATGAGTGCCCCCCGCCCCCCCGAAACTAACCTGAATTTTATGAAGCCCTGATTGGAATCTTTTTTGAGAATTTGTCCATTCCTTAAAATCCTAAGTAAAACTTGCTTTACATATTCATTTTAGGAAATAGGTTCCATGACTTCCATTAACATTTCAAAGGGATCTGTGACCCCCCAACACTTAAGTAAATGTGCTCAAGGATTATAGATATGTACCAGGTGAAACACAAAAAGTGAATTTTTATATGAATACTGTTTTCAAAGATGATTCATATAACAGAGATGAGGGGCTAAGGAAGTGGGACAATAAAAATACTCTTCTGAATCCTTAAATTATGTCTTATAACACAAGTGTCCAATGGTATTTCACGCAGAACTCTTTCCAAGGAACAAGAAGGGAAACAATAATAATAGATGGAAGTAAATGAAGAAAGGTGGCTATCATTTGTTGAGTATCTACTATGTAGTAAGTACTAAACCAGGATTTGTACAGATTTATATCTTTGTGAATACCTATACCATCCCTGTAAAGGAGAAGTTAATCTCCAATTTATAGCTGAGAAAAGTTAAGCCTTGTTAGGCAGGGAGTTTGCTCACAGTCTCAATATATGTTGAGCTAGAATCTGCACCAGGTCTATCTGATTTCAAAGCCTACAGGCAGTCTACCAAACCATGATTTTCATTTCTGAGGGCTTCCTCCTTGACATTCCAGATTATCAAGTCTCTTTATAATTCCTGTTTTCTGAACTTGTACTCTCTTTAAAAAATTAGAAATTCCTCTTAATTTGTTATAAATGACCAATGGTTAGTTCAGCTTGGTAAAATCATATTGTATAATCAAAGTCTAGTTCTGGCAGGTATTTAATAATATGCTTTTTATTTTAAAAAACTCAAGGCACCCATAACAACTGGAAATCATAAGCCACTTGCTTGTGAGGCCTTCTTGGTGAGCTAACAGAATCACCATTTTGGGAAAGGTTGAATGATACTCCCCCTCACCCCACCACTACCCCATGGCCCTGCCCCAGAATAAAACAGTGTAACTGAACTAAGTAAAGATTACATGTTGAGTTTAACTAACTGTAACAGAGAAGGATAAAATAACCATGGTTATTTTTTAATTACTAAAATCATGTCTTTCAAACACCTATCTATAGAGAAGTTATAAGAAAATTTGTTAGCATCACCTGGGATGATAAATGATTTTGAGGCCGAAAAGAGTCTATGAATGGAAAGAATTATTATATATATGGCTCAAATGTGTAACTACATAATGTAACTTTTTTTTTTTAAGAATTATTTTATTTAACTTTATTTACTTATTTTAATTAGACCGAAGAGGGGCGGGGTGGGGGGAGAGGGAGGAAAGTGAAAGTGAGAAAGCAAACTGCCAGGCCTGGGATTCAAACCACGGGCAGCCAAGTGGGAGTCCAGTGCTCTTAACCACCACACCACCGGCTGGTCCCAAAATGTAACATTTTTTTTTTACAAGTCTGGGAACTATTTAGCAAATGTTATATTTGATAATGGAGGACTGAAAGAATACCAAATGAAGAAGTTGATGTCTAGGCTGGAAGACAGCAGACCACAATACCTCTGAACACTGCAAAAGTTGGGATACCAGAATAAGGAATCAAAGTTCCTCATAGTAATAGTGCTTGCTATGCCAAAAGAATCACATTATTGACTGACTTATACTATTAAAAAAAAAAAAAAAAAAAGCAAATGCACAAACAAAAGAGCTGGAAAATTTGGGGTGAGAAAAAAAATCTCTTTGTGAGAGAACAGATTTCTATCTTGTTTGAATTATCAATCAAAATAGTGTCCAGAGTACAGTAACATGAAAACAACTGAACCTATCATGAACACTGGGACAAATATACACTATGGTTATTTGAATATTTCAGAAGTTCACAGGTATCACAATATTCCCTTGCAAATAAAAATCCGTTGTACTTTAAAGGAAAAAATAGGTTTTAATAAAATAGAATAAATGACTCAACATTTTAAAATGAAGAAATAAATACTCTACCAACAGTCTCAAATACCATACTTGAGTACCCTCTTACAAATTTATTATACTTTCTTTGTGATAATACACAAGTTTGGATTATAAAGTCAAAAGTCTCCAAAAATAATTGATTTTATAAATAATTTTAGTCAAATCATTTTAGTTTAGTTATATTATGTTCAAGAGACTTACCCTCCACCACCAAAAGCTAGTGAATCCATGTCTCCTTTGATGAAAAACATATTATCTCCTGTCCACTTAAAGACCTACATGAATAAAAAATTTTTTTAATATGCAGATGAAAATGGTCATTACAAAGAGTTCCCTAAAACTCAAGAGTTAACAAAGCCTATATTGATAGTAAATAGGAAAAACAGTAACACAAAAAGTATGGAACAGAAAATTCTGGGGTGTTGGATTTCAGTGTCTGTATGACTAAATTTGAAAACTCTCTACTACAAAATAATCTTCGATTTCAACTACTTAAATCCTATTGGCTCTTCACAGATACTTTTCTAACTCTATAGGTACTAAGAGTTGGATGGTTATGGAAAAGGTAAAAGCAAGCAAAAAATCAGTTTAAGAAACTGATGGAGAATTAAACAAGGATGTATATTAACCTTGCAACTTTTTTTGTTTTGAGAGGTTTTTTTTTTGTTTGTTTGTTTTTTGCTATAGGGTGCGTGAGCTCACTGGAAAGACAGAAACAGACAGCAAGAAATCACCCCCCAGGGGAGGATGGCCATGTTGCCATCCCTTCTCCTCCATTCTCCTCTCGGGATCTTGGGCACGCACACACACACGCTCGGCATGAGTTTAAGTCACTGGGTCCGGGACTCAAACCACGGCAGACTACATGGGAGCCCAGTGACATAGCCATTACACTAACTGCTGGTCCCAATCTCATAACATTTTAGTATTTTCTAAAGGGCTAGTATTTCCTCTGGTTGTAGATTTGCTGGTCAGCATTCTTACATAAATCATGCCCATGATGTATATTTATGATTTCTGTTTGCAGTTTCTTTAAAGAACAGTGAGAACTTTAAAAACAAGTGAGAAATCTGAGGGCAAACTAGATGCTAACATTCTGAATTATTTTTTCTAACTTTTTATTGGTGTTTACTCTAACCCTAATATAATGAAATATATAGCTCCTCACCTTATTAGGTTTTTGGAAAGTATTCATTATAGTTTTCAAAAGCTTTCTTGGGAACCAGCAGTTAGCGTAATGGCTATGTCGCTGGACTCCCACGTAGTCGACTGCAGTCTGTGGCCCAGTCCTGGTGGCTTAAAACTCACGCCGGGCGCGTGTGCATGAGTGCCCAAGATCCCGAGAGGAGAATGGAGGAGAAGGGATTGCAGCGTGACCATCCCCCCTGGGGGGTGATTTCTCGCTTTCTGTCTCTATGTCTCTGTCTGTCTGGCGAGCGCACGCGCCCTATAGCAAAAACCTCTCAAAAAAAAAAAAAGCTTTCTTAAAGCACTCAGATTTATAGTTAAATAGCATTTAAGTGCTACTGCATCTCAGAAGATCTACAACAATTATGAGCTTTCAGTAGCTATAGGTCAGTTAATATGTTTTATGGAGGCAATGAAATTCTGGTAAACCAGTTAACCAAAAGTTTATTATGGGAACTCTAATGTGTTACCAAATTCTCACTATTTTGTTCATACAGAAGCTGCTCCTAAGATCACTCTAAATTTTTTTCCATTAACTTTGTTGATCCCTTTTCTCAAGATTAAAATATAAGTTCAGCTCTTAGGGAAGGTCTGATGTGCTGAATTTCAAAGTACCTGCAATGACGGACAGTACTCATAGTTTTAAGAACAGTTATGCATTCACTAAAATTCATCTTATCTTTATATTTTAAATCCAACTGACATTAAAATGTATGACACTCTTAGTCAAGCCACAAGTACAAGGGGGTTTTCAAAAAGTTCATGGAAAATGTATATTACGAAAAAAATATATACAAGGATTTAAAAAAAACTTGTACTAAAACGAATGAACGAATGTGTACTTTAATTCCACTTTTTACATAAACTTTTTGAAGTCTCATAGTAAAGACAGCCACACAGGGTAAAGAAAAAAAAGTAAATCACTTTCAATCTAAATCTAATGATTTATTTTCTAAGTTTTCAAGACTTACATTATTGAACTTGGTCATTCAACGTTTTTATTTCTAGGAATTTCACAATGATAATTCATAAATAGAACACTCTTTACTGAGTTCATGAAGTGTGTCTGGTGCCATGCCAGGTATTATATACATATGGTTCTGATTTAATTTTCAAATAACCCTGTTAATTTTATAATCTCCATCCTATCTATAGGAAAGTTGATATTCAAAATGATAAAATCCTAAGTTATCAGTTAGTGAAAAACAGAAATGGAGTCAACAGAATGTGTTTGTGACTCCAAAGTATTTGTACTTTTCATTATGCCATCTCCTTATAAACAGAATATTGAAATAATTGTCCTTACCTCAAACTCTGGACAAAATGTAAAAACAAAGGTCTCTCCAGTACCATAAAAGCCATCACTCACTTTAAATGGCTCAGATGCTAATGCGCCAAAAACCTAAGGGTAAAAAAAGGCACGTTCAAGACATGACTATCAATTGCTTCATAAAGCATTATCTCATCAATATGTTTAAATAAAATGAAAAAAAAAATCAGAATCTGGTATAGTTTTATCTATTTATATTTCACGAGTGAAAATGATCAGTTATTACAAATCCCTCATTATTGTCAAGTACAAAGCATATCAGTTTCTCAACAGGAACAAAACATCTTTTCCTAGTAAAGACAAAAATATAAAATATAAAAAAAATTCATAAAAATTAAACCATCTTGAAATGCGGCTAAAACATTTCAGGGGTACTTACACGCACAATGTATATACAATAAACGTAATATGTTGCTGTGAGACTGTAGAGCTTAGGGAAGCAAAAATCCTTCAGTATAAACTTTCTACTACTAAAAAAGTATGCTAATTTTTTCCTTAATCATTAAATAGTAAACTCCATGTCTTTGGGTCTGAATTGCTCAGCCTTTAACCTACGATCTTGCATAGTACGAGGCACACAAGACACACTCTTTAATAAGAGGATCAGTGAATAAGATACCTGGGTAGGTCAGTGCATGGGTCTATGTTTTCATCTCGTATAATAGAGTGCAAAGACTTGGTGAGTTCTAGTGTCATCACTGTCTCACCTGATATTCTACTTTTATACTCTCAATTTTTAAAAACGTCTTTACTGAAAAACTTACATGTGTTTGTGTGTTGTGTATGTTTGTAAACATACAGCTCAATTTAAAATTACTGAAAAGCACAGTTCCACATAACCTTCATTTGGAACAAGAAACTACATTATCAGTACTTCAGAATTACCTTAAAGTTCCTCTCTCATCAACAGCCCCACCTCCCTGAAGGAAGACACTAGTCAGATACCACCATGGGTTCATTTTTTTGTCTACTTATGAACTTTTGAAAGTGAAACTGTAAGAAAGTCACTCTTTAGTGTCTGATATTTAATTCAAAATTATGTTTGTAACACTCATATGAACTATGACATGTAGGAATTTATATTTTAATTTGTGGAAACAACTTCTTGCTGGGCAAGTGGTTGAACTTCTTTGGTCAAAGTAAACTCCTCTTTAAAACAGGAATAACAACAGTGTCAATGTCATAGTTTGATAATTAAATAACATACTGTATACAAAGTGATTAGTCAAATACCAGGCATATAATAAACAGACTAAAGGTGTTAGGGGTACTAATTTTGTTTGTTTGTTTGTTTTCATACTTCTGTTTTACCCTCTAGTTGCTTCCCAATGCCGATAACTGACCTGAACTTGCTGTGTCAGGAAAATATCAACATGTCTCTCTTTCATCTGCGTTCTCACTCTATTACCCATGCCGGCTGTGAACTCATAATCCTTCTGCTTTGGCCTCTTGAGCAGCTGGGACTACAGACAGGTGCCCACCACCAAACCTGGCTTTTATGGTGGGCTGGAAATCGAACCCAGATCTCCCTCCATGGCCTCTTTCTGCCAAGTAGCAGTGTCAACCAGTGCATGTTTCCATGGCTTGGCTTTATCTATGTTTTTTTCCCTATTATTACCCCCTTCCACAATTACCTTTAAATTTACTCATGCCTCAAGACTCTATCAATATCTACCCTTTTCATGAACTTCACTATTACCTCCTCCAAATAGATAATGAACTACTTTTACTCCTAATACCCCTTTCACTTGGTCTGGGTTCTTACTATACTTAGCACATTTGTCTCAGCATTAGAGACTTTATTATACTTAAATATTCGTTGAAGGCAAGAACTCTTAATTGATCATGCTCATATATATCCTCTGTAACACTCAGAATTGCCTTGCATGCTTCAAGTGCCTGATATGTATCAGTTAAATAATAAAATGCACTATAAATTTTTTTTAATCAAAGGGATATGCTAAAAGTTACCGTTACTTTAATTTCTTAAAGGATCAGGCTGCCGTTAGTTTTTCATACCTGCCCATCACTGTCTTTAATCACCATCAACACAGGGGTGTCTAACCCTGTCATTGTTCGATAAAGGGTCTTCAAACTTGTGCCATGCTTCCCGGTACCATAAACCAGAGTCCATGGATAGCCAATTGTTCTCGGTGGAAGATGTTTGGTAAGCTTTTAAAAAAATATATGTTAGCAGTTATTTGATAGCTGATTGTCAATATGTAGGATTCTAATGACAGTTGGAATTTAGAAGTACAGGTTGAATATCCCTTATTCAAAATATTAAGAATAGAAATGTTTCAGATTTCAGGTTTTGGGGGGAGTTTGAATATCTGCATAAATATAATGAGGTATCTTTGGGATAGAACACAAGTCTAAATATGAAATTCATTCATTTATCTTAAAAATGTAGCCTAAAGGTAATTTCATACAATATTTTAAATAGTTTTGTGTATGAAACAATTTTTGGGTACAAGGTTACTTCAGAAAGCTTGTGGAAAAATGGAATACATGAGTTCGCTTTAGTAACAAATTTTTTTTTTCTTTTTTTGGAGAGGTTTTCGCTATAGGGCCCATGCGCTCACCAGACAGACAGAGACGGACAGAGAGACAGAAAGCAAGAAATCAACCCCCAGGGGGGATGGTCATGCCACAATCCCTTCTCCTCCATTCTCCTCTCGGGATCTTGGGCACGCATGCACACGCGCCCGGCGTGAGTTTTAAGCCACCGGGTCCGGGACGTGAACCGTGGTCAACTACGTGGGAGTCCAGTGACACAGCCATTACGCTAACTGCTGGCTCCCAGTAACAAAAATTTTTGAAAGCCATGCATAGTTTTATCATAATATTCAGTCTCTCTTAACTTTTTGAAGACTGCTTGTACAATGAACCACTGGAAAGCAAAGGTGTCACTATCTCAGTGACATGATACATCACTAATATGGTGAAAAAAAAAAAATCTGTGTTCAGGGTAACTAAGTAGCATAAGAGCATCACCAAAGCACCTATATCCGCTGTTAAAGAACAACAATGACAAATAGCAGGCTTTTACTTTACACATACAATGCTGTATTTTGACTAAACATACACTGTACTTTATATATGGGGAAACAATCAGAAAATTTGAGAGACCAGCACGTGGGTCCTATAGAGATGAAGAAGAATTCTGCTAGATAGCATTCTAAAACGTTACCTCCAGAGTCAGTCATCTGCCTCATTACAAAGTTTTTGTCTTACATGTCTCTCTGATTTTATAAACTGGCATGATTTTTTGTTATGCATGGTGCTCTAGAGCTCCAATAAGCCTATTACACATTTTCATCACGTTGCCTACATGAACTTCTGCAATGTTAACACTGTTATTATCACTATCACTATTATGATCACCTTGATTCAGAACCATTTTGGCAATATCATCTTTGGTCAAGAAATAAACAACTAGAGGCTCATTATTGGTGCTAAAAACTTTTTCAATATAATATGTACTTTTCTAGTTTACTGACAGACTGTGAAGGGGTGTGTGTGTGTGTGTGTGTGTGTGTGTGTGTGTGTGTATATATATATATATATATATATATGTTTTGCATATATAAGAAGGTCAAACTTTTTTTTTTAAAGAAAGAGGTTTTTCTTTTTCTTTTCCTTTTTTAAGATTTTACTCATAATAGAGCATGTGTGCATTGTGCATGCATGGGAAAGGTAGGGGCATGGAGGAAAGTGCCCACCACAGATCTAGGTCACACTGTGGTCCTCTTCCTCCATTACTACAGTCTGCCAAAATCCTGGACATGTTATGCAGACACCCTGCATATTTTCAGGCCAACTGGGTCTAGCGACTTGAACCATAGTCAGTATGTGGATTCTAGTTCTACAGTCCAATGTGCTACCAGCTGAGCCACAAAGACTGGGACCAGACATCATTTTTTCATCACTTGATACATGGAATCCTTAAAAGTTACCTTGTTCATCATCATCACTGAACAGTTACAAGCTGGAGGTTGTGCCGGTATGCACAACTGTGTCTTCTATCCATCTGTAGACAACAGCATATATGGCATCCTTAATGCTAAACAACTCTTGAAAACCTTTCATCAGTCATGCCTATGTTCTCTGCTCCTAACAGATTGACTGATCTAAGGATTGCATGGCTGAATTAATAAAGTTACTCTTAGGATGGTACACGGCATAAATACTGTTTCTGATGAAAATTTCAGTAGGAGGATGAGCAGAACAGTTGACAAGGAATAATAACAAAATGCTGCAGTCTTCATCCCCGGTCTCATCAGCTATAGTCAGTATCTTTCTGGAATAATGCCAAAATACTAATGTTTCATTAGCATTATAGACTTGTTTTGACATCAGATTTTCCTCAGTGATAACCTTGGCAAACTCGATGAATTTCACCACTGCTTCATGATCAGCAGATTTTTTATCATCACAAACATTTAAAAATTTAATGCCATGTCTTTTCTTAAATTTTTGCAACCAGTCTGTTAAATATTCACGGTTCCCTTAAAACTTCAGTTTGTCATGATAGATCTTTGCTTGTTTTGTGATTGGCATACTGTTAAGTGACACGTATTCACTATGACACTGACAGATTCACTCATTGAATACATGATCAAGATCTTATTTTTAGATATAGGCAGTATTACTTCTAATTAACTTCTGCTCATCACTTTCAGCACAGACCTTCACTAGTTTATCCTTCTGTTTCTTCAGGTCATATACGATTGTCATTCCAACACCATACTCTCACAAAAGATGTTTCACATGTACACTGGTGTCCAGTTTTTCTAATAGTTTGATAGTTTGACTTCTTTGTGATTATATACATAGAGGTCTCCCTTTTTTCTAATCATTGTTACCCACTGGGGTATCTTTGGGCCTTCTTGACATTTGCAATAATATCTTTATACCACAAAGCAGAAAATGACCAAAACAATTACAGTAGGGTAATGCACAAAGGTCTTGGTTCCCTGTAGGTCATCATAGCAAACCTAGTGCACATGGCCTGCCTGCATTGCCATTTTATTACCTTTTGTGGATGTGCTTGTGTGGAGGAATCTGAGTGTATACAGAAAAAATATCCTGCAGCTAAATGGTTCTGGGAAGGCATTAAATAAACTGTATGCTGTGAGACTCTATTTCGACTGTGACCCATCACATGAGGTGAGGTATGAAACTGCTCACTGACAGCTTCAGGTTGGCACTCAAAAATTATCTAAATTTGGTGCATTTTAAATTTTAATATAAGGGATATTTAACCTCTATTTATAAAATGTATGCTACAACATTAAAATAACAGTACATGTTATCATCGTCAAAGATACTGAGGCTTAGAAAGTAACTATATGCTTTTCAAGATGAAATATTAATTGTCCACAAAACACAGATTAGAATAAAGACATGCACAGATGATACATTGCTGGTACCCTCTATGGAATTAACAAAAATACTGAAGGAATTATTAGCTTGATTATTAAAATACCTAGCAAATAATGGGGCCTCAAGCTTCTATCCATAATAGGCTGTGTGATCTTGAACGAATTACTTAATCTATGCCCATAATTTATCCACTTAAAAGTGTTTGGGGCCAGGAAGTGGCATAGAGGTTAAGGTGGCTAGATTCCATATGGTCAGCTACATGGTTTGAGTCCTGGATCTGGCAGTTTGAAAATCATGCTGAGTGCGTGTGCATGCATGGCCAAAATCCTTAGAGAAGAATGGAGAAGGGATTTGTTTTATGGCAGCCATTCCCCTGGGGAGTGATCTCTCTCTCTCTTTCTCTGTCTTTGTATCTGTTTCTGGGAAGCGCACGTACCCCCCCCCCAAAAAAAAAGGAAAGAAAGAAAGAAGTGTTCAATAAAAGCATCTAATTCTGACAGCTATTGAAACAATTATATGAGATAATCTACATAAAACAAGTAACTAATATACAATAATAAACCAACTATTGGCCGTTAGTGTCTTACCTAAATTACTATTACTATTTTAGATTACTTCTGTAAAATTTTTAAAACCATCTATTAACACTAGTCACAATAGCTTGCTTTCTTTTCATCATGGGAGAGGAACAATAGTGGCAATAACCTTGATGATTCAGAAAGAATGTACGAGTCTGTTTTATTCCATGGGCACATACAAAGAAATGCATGATGTGCATATATCATACCTTCTCAATTTGATCTGGCAGTAACAATTCACTGGGATCACTCAGGTTTGGTCGAAAAGTTTCGGACTCCAGGTCTGTTTTCACTGGTGCAACCTGCTTTGAGTTTATGTCTTCTCTTGTAGTAATCTAAAAATGTAAAGACCAGCACTGTATTAACATATAATTGTAATAAGCTTTCAAACATTCCTTTGAGATAAATAAAACTTTATACCTTAGAAAAGGTGGCTAAAGTTTTACCTCAGGATTTTATAAGGCAAAAAGGTCCCATCTAATATTAGGTCATCAGGAAAGTGAAAACATATTTTCCTGTACAAAAATGTATCATGACTTTCCTGATGACCCAAAAATATCAATGACACATCCAATGTGGAAGACAATTTTGTAATAATCATCTACCACATGAGAACAGGTATTAAATGATAAATTCCCACATATCTGTGTAAAAGGAAGGAGTTGATACAATTTTAATTTAGCCTTTGAGGGCAAGAGTGAGGCAGTCAACTTATTATACGTGCTATTTAAAATGTAGGATTATTTTCTTCACAGTAAACACAAAATTTGCAAAAATAATTAAGAAAACTTCCCATGTACCAAAATTCTAATAGAAGAAAAACTGTGATTTCTTTCCATTGGTATGTAGTTTATTTACTTTAACTAAAAAAGTTACCATTTTTTTAAAAAAACATCTTCATTATTTTACTTCCTGAACACTACATTTCCTTTTATGTGGTTGGATCAAACAATGCAATTTAAAGTTAATTTGTTCACGAATCTATTTTTAAAATTAGATCAATCTGATGCATTAAAAAGAATATATGTGTTTGCTTGATGGAAATGATCTCGCTAGTATACTTAAAAGGATAAAAATATTAACTACAAAAAATTTCTACTATACAATCTATTCTTTGATGCTTTTTAAAATTAATTTTAGCTTAATACATAAAACATGGGTAACATTAGAAAATAACAAGTCTGAAAAATAAGTATTTTTGAATAAAGTTTTAAATTGAAAAATATACAGCATTCTATTGGAGCAGATAACTAAAATGTAGCAGTGCTCGGCGACTATGATCCATATAAGAGTAAAATCTTGCTAGATTTTCTGTTCTTTTTAACAGATTTCTTACCAAGTCTGAACAGCATACATATATTTTCAACCAATATATTTTAGAACTATACTGACGTTTTATGAGAAGCTACATGTTAATTCTTTCACATTATCATCAAGTTTTACCCTTATTTTGATAATGTGAAAGGTTTAAAAGTAATTTAAAAAAAAAAAAGAAAGAAAAATCCAAGGCAGCATTAGAAGCATTGAAAGAAAAGAAAAAAATTCAGTAGGTATAGCAAAGGCATGAAAGCATATTATTAAGAAGAGAAAAACAATCAATAATAATAGCACAAAACTGAAAAATGAGTTTTCAATTCTATCACTTTCTAAATTTCTAAAAAAAAAAAAAATGACAGAGATTATTTCATGGAATTTTACATTATTTATCCTAACCTATACTAGTCCAAAATATTTCTAAAACTAACCAAGAATAATGCCTGGAGAAAAAAAAATATCTCATTAAAATATCTGAGATGGGCTTGACATAACTTTCATAACATAATTAATTATGAAAGAGGAGAAAATATTTAAGCCTTGCTATCTGTGAAAAATAATTAAAATTTCCCATAGTACTACAACTTTCAGATTCTGTAAAGATTCAATTGCAAAACCAAAGACATTCTTCCAATGTTAAAATTAAATGAAAACTCATCACTCAAAGAAATACAGAGTACTAAGAATAATTCTGAAGTGACAGAAAATTCTTCTGAATATTTTTTACATAGAAAGATGACAGAAAAGATCATCTGTAGCTCTTCAAGACAACACTGCACTCTTCAATACAAAAAGAATTTTCTGATTTGTTATTTTAGTGCTGCAGTCAAAACAAATCTTTCAAATATGAGATTTGTCCTGACAAAAGTCACTAAATACAGAAAGGAGTCAAACTCCGGAGGGGTTTAAACTACTGAAGGGGGCACCTGGAGACGTCTGCAGAGTGTGCGCAGTTCTTCAGTATTTAGAGCATCGATCCTGCGGTGATACTCAGCCACTGACACTACCTGAATATGGAAACAGGAAGACAATAATTCCACTGACAGTTGAGAAAAACAGGAAAAATAAAAAGAGAGAGAGAGAGAGAGAGAAAGGGAGAGAGAAAGACAGAGAGAAAAATAAATGAGGAAAGAGAACTGTAATCAAGATTTCTTCCCCCACTCCAAGCTGAAAATCCAAGAGATTTGTAAGTCAAGTTAGCGTGAAATACACACAAGTTCCACCACTATATACATCTAGTTGGCAATACAAAGTTTATTTTATTGGGCTATTTCATATAGCCTGAATTCAATTAGTAAATAGAAATTTTAGTTTTTTTACACAAGAAACACTATATAGAAGTTAACATGCTTTGCTAATATCACAGACAACCAGACAACATGTGAAATCTAAAATCTACGGATCTGCAGTTTACAAAGATAGGGGGATAGTAGTTTAAACTATCTCCTCTACCTCGGTGGAACTCAAATATTTTATCCTAATGACCATACTGGAAGTTCTTCTAGGCACAGGTGACAAACATACCTATCCGTATTAGAAAACGATATGAAATACATTTTGAAATCTACAGCAATGAGAAAAATTTGCTCTAGAAAGTAGAAAATCTTCACAAATATGTGTTATCAATAGTACCTTCTCAGACATGTTTACTTTAGTCTTGTTAAACAACTTTTTCTAGTTTTTGCCTCTCCACTCTTTTACTTCCTTGTGTTTTGTATGGTAGCAGTTATGTGTAACTAAAACTTAACTACTGCCCTATATCCTTACTTCCCAAGGGAAATTCTATCTGCTGTAATTGCCTTGAGCAGTCAGTTGCATAGTGCTGAAATTGATAACTCTGTAAATAGTAGGGATAAACACTGCGACAAAAATTCCACAAAAATAGACAAGTTTTCTCAGGTTGACACAAGTTACTGCTTCTTCAGATTATGACATAATTCCAAAAATAGTTACCTTAATATGGTTAACTCTACTGGTGTCATAAATATCTGCTATTTCTCCTGAGTTGTGACTAATGCTTCCTGTGATCAATCAGAACAGATGTGTAGAAACTCTGGCCACAAAAATGGTTAAATCAATTCGCTCATCAGAGTTTAGACTTCTAACCTAGGTTTTAAAATATTCTCGTTTTAGCCAACTAAAAAGAATTGGCTACCAGTAAACATGAAGGTAACTCACAAAGTGCTATGTGAACTTGTTGCAAGCTATGAAAGACATGAGAATAGAAAAAAAGAAAGAAACTCCACAGATTTCCTTTCTGGTTATTATATTGATTTTGGTAAAGCAACAATGAATACAACTGACTCTATACTTATAAAGAAACGCAAGGTGGTTATACTCCTAAGCTCTGAGAGTTTAGATGGATTTGCATTAATGCCCCTCATAAAGTTGTTTACACACACACACACACATACACACACACACACACACAGGAATAAAACTAAAGACCATATAGGTTTCAGTATAAATTAAATAAGGAAATAAATAAAGGACTGAATGTCCAGTGACTGAATGTAGTTCCTGACTTGTACTGAAAGAACTACTATCATTAACACTACACTTAGTTGATACCTTTTTACCATTACCTTAAGGATTAAATGATATCACCTGAGGAAACTCCTTATTTATTTTTGGTTTATAGTTTGGTGTTAAAAAATTTCAGGTTTGAGATCTCACCTATTTTGTATACTTTGAATCATTTTTCTGAAGTTAATTTAGATTTTGGTATCAGATGGAATAATGGCCTTTCAATTAGGAACAAGGGAATTTTTCAATAAAGATGAAAGAAATATTAAATACTAAAAGAAAAATCATGACTTTGCTTTTCTGTGGTCAGCAAAAGAGGATTGTACAAAATACGTAATGACAAATTCTTTTTTTTCTTTTTCGTGGCATTCAATTTATTTGAGATTCCCCCAGAAAAGCTTTGCCAAATCATATGACATATTTATTGCTTTGCAATCCTACCCATCCAGTTAACCTGACCTTACACAGGATTTTTTTTTTTTTAAAGAAAAAACTCGTTCTTTTACCATATTAAACACATTTCCTTAATGGAAGTGAAAATGAATCATTCTCACAAAAGGGATCAGTTATAACCTAAATCAACATCCCTGAAAGTAGGGATTATTAATAAGAGAACAGTGAACTGCCATCATATGTCTAAGCTTATAATATTTGGTAAAATCTTCTTTAAGCCTAAATATTACCTCTGGCCTCATGACTGAAGATACATAGAAGTGTCCAAAATAAAGTCTATAAATTAGGAGAGAAAAATAATTTAAAATTGATTGAAGAAATATACTTTCTCCTCTCAAAATAAGTGAACAAAAAGAGAGGTAGAGTTAGTATATATGATATACCAGAATTAGTCTTAAATTGTATACCCAGGGTAAATCATATTCTACATTTGTACTTATTACTTTACCCAAAAGGATTAAAACTAAATAGAGAATGGGCACATTTCTACAAAATATCCATATCACACTTCCAATTATCAGGAGAAGGCAGCTGTGGAAACCAAAGCTTTCCAATTAAAAATGTTTTCACTGTCTGGGTGAAAATCATTTTTGAGGAATGAAGTGGTTTGGACATATTGCTTAAGACACATCTAAAATACTTTGACTTCCACTCTGCAGAAAAATCTCTAGTTTTTTTCAGTCTCTGACCAAGAACTGTCACAAAGAGAAAGTTTTTCCTAAGCATTTAATTCTACTGAATTACCAATGAAAAAGTAGAATTAAATCCATCCAACTCTGTTATGAATGGCCTAAAGAGAACAACAAGATAATTAATGCACAGAGTAGAGAAAATTTATAGTTTCTGTCAATCCCATGAATTGGAATTTTCATCTCAAACACATAAATATCTTAGCCTAATAGGTTTGTTGTCAGAATGTTCCAGGATTACCCCACACCACCAAAAAGATCTACCTTCCTTAAGTGGCCTTGCAAACAAATAAAAGTCTGGAAGATAGCTGCAAATGTGCCATTTTTACTACTTTCTTAGTATTACAGTAAGTGGAGATACGGTAGAAAGAAAAATACTACTGACCAATACCATTTATTAGTTATAAGGAAAGTCATGTCACTTTTTTGCACAGAAAAACACATTATGACTTTCTTGACCACCTAATATTTTCTTTGGTACTCAAAATATGTTTAAAAAAAAGGAAATACAAAATCTAAGCTGTTGTAACTAAAAATAAAATAAAATTAAATTAAAAAGCAATAGAATCCTGAAGTTATATAACCTTGAATTACAATATATTTCATGATATATATCAGTCTTCACATTACTTATAAGACCTAGATTATACCTAAATTTAAAACTATTTCTTTTCTAAATAAAAATATTTTCTTTGAAAAGATGAATAAAATTGATAAACTTCTATCCAGGCTTACAAAAATAAGTAAAATGTACACACATAAGAGAAAAACAGACATAAATTATATTAGAAATGAAGAAGGGCATTCATTACTGATATCACAGACATTAAAAGAATACTAAGGGAATATAATAAACAACTCTACCCACAAACCTGATAGCATAGTTGAAATAAACCAATTCCATGAATAACACGAACCACCAAAAGTCAGGTAAGAAACAGATAATTGGATTAGGTCTGTATCTATTAAAGAAACTGAATCAATAATTAATATCTGTCCAAAATAGAAAGCACCAGACACAGAAGGGTTCACTGATAGATACTACTGAAAACTTAAGAAAGAAAAAATACTAATTCTCCACAATCATATTCATTAAACAGAAGCAGAGAGAATACTTCCTAATTCATTCTAATAATGTGATGATGAGAAACAAGATTTTTTCCCACCAAAACTGGGAGCACTGCAGGATATTACTTATCACCACTCTTATTTGACATTATACAGAAAGTCCCAGCTAATGCAGTGAGACAAGAAAAGGAAGAAATAGGAATACAGATAGGAAAGAAGGAAATAAAATGGTTTTGGTCAGCAGAAGATGACTGTTAATACACAAAAATCCCACAGAACCAATCAAAACACTACAGGAATTAATATGTGATCACAACATGGCTATAAAGCACAAGATTAATATATAGAAGTCAATTGCTTTTCCATATATCAGCATATAAATGGAATTTGAAATTTAAAATGGAAATAAATATAATACCTAAGCAAAAATCTAGTATAATATATAGAAGATCAACATGAAGAAATGTACAAAATTCTGATGAAGAAACAAAGATTTAAATAAATAGATATATATTCCATGTTCATGGATAGGAAGAAAATTCTAATCAAAATTCTATTAAGTAATTATGAGAAAATAGAAAAAGTGATTCGAATAAGTATCTTAACAGTTTATATCATAAGACTCAGAATAGTCAAGACAATAATGAAGAAAGAACAAAGTTGGAGTGACAGTAATCAATTTCAAGACTTATTACAAAACTATAATAATTAAGATAGTGTGGTTTGGTAAGAAAACAAATACATCAATGGAACATAATAGAGCCAAACTCACACATAGTCAGTCAACTGATTTTTGACAAAAGAATAAAGACAAATTCAGTGAAGAAAGGATGGTCTTGCCCCTAAATGGTACTGGAACAATGGAATATCAATATCATGCAAAAAAGTCAATCTAGACAAAGTCCTTCTGCCTTTAGCTAAAACAAACTCAAAATGGATCACATCCCAAATGGTAAATGCAAAACTATAAAACTCCCAGAATGTAACATAGGAAAAAATACCTATGTGACTTTGAGTTTGAAGTTGCTTTTTAAATAAAACACTAAAAGCACAATTCATGAAAGAAAAAAATTAATAAATTAGATTTCATTAAAATTAAAATTTTCTGCTTTGTGAAAGATACTGTCAAGAGAGAATGAAAAGACAAGCTATAGACTAGGAGAAATCTCTGCAACATACCTACTAGATGAAGAACTGTTATCCAAAATATATGAAAAACCCTTAAAATGCAACAATAAGAAATCAAACAAACTAATTAAGACATGGACAAA